GAATGCTTTATCATTCAGCCACATTTAAAAAAAAAAAGAACTCTTAAAAACTGTATAATTTGTGTGAAAACATGCTATTTCATCATTTCCCAGTCATTTTTGTACTCTTCAAACAGTAATACTGCTATGAAGGATTCTTTTTAAGGTTTTCCTTCCGTGCCCTCCAAGTCCAGATTCCCCCAGGCAATTAATGATAAACTAGCCACGCTTGTTTTAATTTAAGGCATCTTTTGAGGGCTACAGAATGCCTTTCAGGCTCATGATAAAAAGTTGTGCTGTGGGTTGCTCTTGGGACTATTTTATCAACCTTATTTGCATTCTTTGACCACTTTTTTTTTTTAGTTATTTTGTTTAAGCAAATGAGATATTAGTGAAATTCCAAGAACTTACTGATTGATCTCAGGAATACCACATCAGGAAGGGAGGGAGCAATACAGAGGAATCAATAGAATCATCAAAAAGAGACCCTTCTTATTGCCGGTGCAGGGACTTTGTCTCTGAAGCGAGCCAGGGACCCTCCATGTTCCTATTAATGAACCATATCTTCATGATGTTTTACCTTTCTGTTTTGGAAAACAGATTCCTTTCTTTTGACTCTTTAGAATTTGTGGTCTGGCAAAATATCAGGAAAGCAAAATAAGAGAAATTTTAACACATTTTAAGGATCAAAAGGATGATGAGTACTTGAGGGCAAAAAGTTGCTAAGTTAAAATTAGGTGATATTGAGGGCTTGTTAAGAATCTGAGAAATGCAGGAAGAAAAGGAGATTGATTTTAAGTATTGATACTGTAAACTTCATGAAATGGAAAGAAGTCATAGAATTTTATGAGAAGCCTCAAATGATACTTGAATCAAAAACTTAAGTGAACCTGAGAGGTTTGAGCAAAGCAATTCATATTCATTTAATAAGGATTTATTAAGTACCTATCAAGTGCCAAGTACTGTATCAGGTACTCGGAATAAAAAGACAAAAAAGCAAAACCAGAGGAGGTGGGTCAAAAGGGTAAGCAGACTTGAATGTCATGGAAGGAGTCTTCGCTCTAGGCAAGAGTTCTTAACCTGGTGTCCACGAACCTTAAAAAGATATATTTTGATAACTGTATTCTAATATAATTGGTTTCCTTTGCAATCCTATGTATTTTATTTTATTAATTTAAAACCACTATTCTCAGGGCAGCTAGGTGGAGCTGTGGATAGAGCACCGTCCCTGAAGTCAGGAGGACCCGAGTTCACATCCAGCCTCGGACCAAACACTTGACACGTACTAGCTGTGTGACCCTGCGCAAGTCACTTAACCTCAATTGCCTAATAAAAACAAAAAAAACCAAAACACTATTCTGAAGAGTCCATAGCTTTCACCAGACTGTCAGAGGGGTCCAGGACACAGAAAAGATTAAGAAGCCCTGTTTTAGAGTTGGAGGTCCTGGGTTCATTTCATGCCTCTCACTCATCCACCTGTGTGTCCTTGGACCAATCATTTAACTTCTCTGGGCCTCAATTTCTTCACCTCTAAAAGAAGGTTGTTTATAAGGTCCCATCTACCTCTATCTTTGAACTTATGGAATAGTAACTGAACTGTTTGATCTTTTTTTTTTTTTTTTTGGTTTGCACTTGCTTGTTACAAAAAGAGGCAAAATACAAGAAAATAAGCTGATCAGATATTCAGTCAGAGAACTGAGAGACAGCTTAGCATAGTGGACGGAATGCTAGATTTAGAGTGAGGAAGATTCAAAGCCTTCCTTGAATACGGTTTAAATGTGTGACCATGGACAAATCAGTTAGTTTTTATGAGCCTCAGATGGTCCTCTAATTCTTAATTACTGATTTATAGGTAGGTTTCAGATTGATAATGTGAAGATGGAGGAAATCCTCACATTGGGGAAGTCACAGATCCATGACTATTGAATTAGTAAAAGTAAAGGTCCTAGGGTTTGTCTAAGACCCTTTAAAGATCCAATTCAATTTCCTGCACCTTTATTTCATCTGTGTCACTACTAATTTATAATTGTGTCTGTAATTGCAATCCTGAGGCAGTTGAGTCAAAAAAGTGTTATAGAGCTGGATTTTGAATCCCACGTCTGACATTTAGCAATGAGTAACTTGTAGGCAAGTCACTTAGTTTCTCTCATCCTCAGTTTTATCATCTTCAAAATGGGACTAATACTTTCAGTACTTATCTCACAAAATTGTTGTGATGATCAGATGAAATAAGGTGTATAAAATACTTGATAGAACAGAAAACAATATGTAATGGCCAGTTATGATGATGATAATAATTGTAATCCCATATCCTTCAAAGAAACATTTAAGTGTTTTGGTATAAGATATTTAATAATGCAACAAAGTGTTCTAGAAAGTTTCCACAAGAAGGGTGATCCTCAGATGGTCAGAATACTCCTTTACCCCCAGCATACTTGTTAATTTGATTTAACAGACGTTTATTAAGCTTCTCCTATGGATCAAGGAAAGCACTGCTTTTTTTTTTTTTTTTAAACACCTGGTACCGTTCTGCTCCTGACACTGAGTTAGTCTCTAATTGTTTGTGTTTCTAGTCCAGCTTCAATTATCATTATTAGTTTGGGGTTTGGAGACAGCACGCCAAGCTTCGGAAAAGGCTTGGAGTGGACTTCTTATCTAGTTCTACAACATCCACTGGGCCATGTTTATGATCACTGAGTACACCGGCCCCTGTGCTCTCCGATTCAGTTTCATGAGTCTAAATTTGTCATTTAGATGTAGTGAAGAACTACGCCTGAGGGCAGAGTCAGGACCCAGTCCCCTTGATACATCTGGGGTTCAAGGCATCCGTCTAGATTTCTCCAGAGTTGGGTTTTTTTTTGTTTGTTTTGTTTTGTTTTTTGACACCTCTACTAAATAACCATTTGGTATAGATTTGGCCATGTAACTCGTATTAAAGCTTATGATGATTATATAAATGTGATACCTTAAACTGAAATGTTAGCTAGTCACAAGACAAGGTAGAGGAGATGGGTTGGGAATAACTATTGTTAACAAAATGTTTGGGAACCCTGTATGAAAGTCCTTAAAGGAGCTCTGTGTCAGAATTAGAATCTAGCCATTGAAACAGTACTCTGTTAGTAACTCTGGTTAGTTATTCTCCCTCTTGGCTCACCTAGATTTTTCTTTTTTTTTTTTGCTGATAATGTTATCTCCTCATTTTACTGTTTACATTATGATAAACAACAATGTGCTTATTTGTGATTCTAGATATATAGGATGTCCTGAAACTCTTAGTGTAGTTTTGTGCTTATTAAAGCTTTTGGGACACTTGAATCTGTGCTCATAGTGTTCCTTTACCCCAAAGATATCATCTATTCATTATGGCTATTAAATTCTTCCCCCATGCAAGGCACTGTGCGTGGCATCTTGAGTGTTTGGCTACAAAGAAGACATACTTCCCTCTTTTGGGGGACCCAGATGTGTGATTTCATTGGTATAGGGAATTCTTCACTGATGAAGACCAGCAATTTATGATTTAGAACATTAGAGACTTGCCCAGGTCCCTGATTGCTTAAGTGACTTGCCCATGGTCCCACAAACTAGTCTGTCAAGAGACAGGACTGGAATCCATGTCTTGTCTCCCAGGCCAGCCCTCTATTTCCTATGCCATACTATCTTTCTAGATCAGATGGTCCCTTATCACAAGTGAAGTGAATATTAGGGACTGTTTTCCACCGTTTATTTAAACTTAGTTGCTCAATCGAAGCTTTCCAGTGCATTGGTATGCATGGACCATTAAGAGTTACTCAAATTTGCAACTTAAATATCACTTTGGCCTCTTCCCTTATAAAATCTCAGTTTCTTTCACTGCTCAGTAAAGTGTGCTACAGTACTCGTTAAATTGATCCTCTTCACTCTGTCTCCGTTGAGACTCTCAGGTTGCCTCTAACTTGAGCTTAGCAACTTTTTCCCCATTAACTCTCATCATCATCATCATCATCATCATCATCATCTAAAATAAAGTAGGCTCCTTAAACAAAGTCATAATGACAGACTCTTCTTTGTTTCCTTCAATCAAGAATCAGTAAACATTTATCAAATGTCTGTTGTATATGTCAGTCACTGTGCTAGGTGCTGGGACTATGAGTACAAAGAATGAGGAATCTCTACATCTGGTTTGTCTGTATAGCAGAGTGCAAGACTTGGGGGGAGAAGGGGTTTATATCCAGTGAGGTTGGAAAGATACGTTGGGACCGGGTTGTGAGGGGCTTTAAAAGATAAACAGAGGAATTTTTACTTGAGAGGAAAGAGGAAGCCACTGGAGTTGAGTAGGGGAGTCAGGTGGTCTGACTTGCACTTAAGGAAAATTCCCTTGGCAGTGGTGTGGAGGATGAGCTGAGGCAAGGAGACCAATTAGGAGGCTATTGCAATAATCTGGGAGGAGATGCTGAGGTCCTGAAATAAAGGGGATAGCTGTGTGAGTGAAGAGAAGAGATTGGATGAGAGAAATGTTGTAGAGGTAGAAATGGCAAGATTTGGCAGCTTATTGGATGTGTGGGGTGAGAGAGGGGGAGCAGTTTCAGTTGAGTGATGAGGTTGAAAGCCATATTGCAAAAAGGTTGAGGAGTGAGTGAGAGTGGAAGAAGTAGATGAAGGCAGAGAGTATATATAGACAGCTGTCCTCCAAGCTAGTCCTCGGTTCTTGGCTACTATGAAAAGAGCAGCTGTAAAGTACTTTTGTTTTAGCTTCATTTGTTACCATTTCCTAATGGAGAGAATGTTTATATCAGGAAACCCATCTAGGAAATGAGTCAGTAATAGAGCAGATAAGAGGGACTCAACAGCCTTGATAATCTGAGTACCATAGTCTGGATCTATGCTGGGTAAAGACAGTCCACAAAGTGGATTTTCCACAAGTATCTAATGGAGACATTTTTAGAAGGGAGTGTCAACAACTTGAATTCTGGGCAGAGAAATCAGTGTTCTTACCTTCTTTGCTGCTGAAATTCTGATGGGTTCTCTCTTTTTCCTCTTTTTAGCTGCAGTTGGATTCCTGACTGTGTCCAGCGTTGTTACCATGTCGGCTCCCTTCTTCCTGGGAAAGATTATCGATGTTATTTATACAAACCCTACTGGGGACTATGTAAACAACCTGACCCACCTCTGCATCCTTCTGAGTGGAGTATTTTTGTGTGGTGCTGCTGCTAACTCGGTTCGTGTCTACCTCATGCAGACCTCAGGTAAAAAGGACCGTCCACCACCCCCAAAGAAGTATTTCTCTCTAATATTGTAGACTTTATCTTGGCCTTCCTGTTTCACCTGGACTTTAGCAGGGTTGGCTTAGTGGCAGGAGCACTGGATTCTGAGTCAGACCCAGAGACAAAAGACTTGGGCTTAGATCCAGCTCTTCCACTTAGCTGTGTGACCTTGGCCAAATCACTTAACTTGAGCATTGTTTCCTTCCAGCTGTAAAATGGGGTAATCATAGTTGTGCTGTTGTGAAGATCATTTTAGTTCAACAAGCATTCATTATATGCTTACTTCATGAGGCATTCTGCTGGGCACTAGGGATACAAAGACAACTGTTTTCTGCCCTCAAAGAGGGAAAGAACGGTAACAACTAGGGGGAGAAGAAAAGGCCTACATTCTCAAATGAGGTAATGTGAATAAAGAATTTTGTAAACTGTAAAGCCATTGTAAATGTTAGCCATTATTGTTATTACTTTTGCAGGCCATGGTTTTCTAATCAATATTTCCTGGAACTTTGAACATGAAGCATATTTAGGGATAAACTTCAGCCTTTGTTTAGTTTTATGTTTACTCTTATTTTTTATGTGACCATCATTTCCTTGTATACCAAGTCTCTCTAATCCTGCCTCACCCTAAATAGCCTTCTGATTTTTAAACATTTCTTAAAATTTTCTGATTTTAAAAAACATAAAATAATATGAGCATTTCCGTGTATAGAGTAGAACAGAAAAAGATGACCCTACATGAAACTATGGATCTTTGTTATTTGCAGCTTGCTTTTCTTTTTTAAAGTATATAACAAATTCAACCTGTAACTTTCAAAGCTGCCCTGCTTGTCTGTTTTCTGCTGTTCTTCCTTCCATACTCTTATACGTTTAAAAAAAATGTTTCAGTAAGCCTCCTTCCTTCCTTCCTCCTTTTTCTCCTCCTTTCCTCCTTCCTCTTCCTTTTCTTTCCTCTCTCCCTCTCCCTTTTTGTATTTGTATTCCCAGCACCTTCCACAGTGCCTGCCACATATTAAGCACTTAACAAATGCTTCTTAAATAGAGAGCCATTGATCACAACAGAGGTATGATCACATATTACCTAGCAATTGTGTTCTGGCATCTGTGTGAAAGATGGATTGGAGAAAAGAGGAAAAGAAAACAGACTAATTTGAAGGTTATAGTGGTCCAGGAGAGAGATAAAAGCTTATAGTCATGGCCATGTGAATGAAAGCTAGAGGAGATTGGATGTTTCGAGGCCAGAATTAACAGAGTTTCACAGATGTTTGTCTGAAGGAGAAGAAAGAGTCAAAGATGAGTCCAAAGTTATGAGCTTGGGTGACTAGTGAGAAAAGGGTTTAAGGAGCAATAATAGAAATCCTCAAGGGAGGAGGCATGACTTCAGGAGGGGAAGGTGATGAGTTTACTTCGGCCGTGTTAAATTTGAGATGCTGCTGGGAAATCCAGGTAGTGAGGCTCATCAGGCATCCTGTTTGCAGCTTACATTCTAGGAGGGGGATAACACTGCAAAATAGATAGCTATAATATCTGTTATTATGTGATACATGCTTTCATTACAAAACAGTTCTATGGGCAATTTTAGAGGCAAGACTGTTGACAAGCTTAGTTGTGAGGCAGCAGGGAAGGCTTCTTGGAGGAGTTAGCCTTTGAATTGGGCTTTCAAGGAATTCGTAGAGTAAAGGCTTGGGAAGGAGCTTAGACTTAGGGAACAACCTGGTTAAAGGCGGGAGGAAGGGGCGTGGGGTCAGAGAGTAATCCATTTTGGAAAATATAGGAAGGGAAAGGAAGAGTATGGAATAACACTGGAAACGAAAGGGGGCACCAAATGGTGGAGTACCTGAAATGCCAGGCCCACTGAGTTGGAATTTTCTACAATGAGCATTATAGAATAGTTGGAAAATTTTGAGCAGAGGAGATACCTTCTGACCAGAAGGATGCTAATTCATCTGTGTGACACAACCCTCATAAGAATGCAGGTTCTTTAGGGGTAGGAATAATGTTTTAATCTTTTTGTCTCTCTCAGCACCCAATATAGTATCCTGGACATAGTCATTACTTAATAAATATTGTTGAACCTATAGGTCTTGATAATTGATTAGATAGGAGAGGCAAAGGAAAGGGCAGAATCCAAGATAACCAAGAGTTTTGAGCCTAGGTGATAGGGAAAAGCATAATATCATCGAAAGAAAAGGAGAAATAATGGGGAAGATTCAGTTTGGGCCGGGAGCGATATGAGTGAAGGTTTTCAAGAGAAATCTAGTGTCCTGAATGAGTGCCAGTCCCATTGTACTCAGCTGTGGTCAGATCACCTCTGGAGTTTGGCTCAGCTCTAGGTACCCTGCTTTAGAAGAGAGAATGTATCATGACTCCCTCCTCACACCACACCCACACACCGACACACACACACACACACACACACCCCCACCACCACCACCATCGAATTAGGATGATGAGAAAAATCAAAACTGTTTCCATATAATGTCCAGTTAAAAGAATTTGAGGAGGGGCAGCGAGGTGGTGGAATGGATAGAGCACCGGTCCTGAAGTCAGGAGGACCTGAGTTCAAATCCTGCCTCAGACCAAACACTTGACACTTAACTAGCTGTGAGACCCTGAGCAAGTCACTTAACCCCAATTGCCTAAAAAATAAAAAAATTAAAAAAATTAAAAAAAAAGAATTTGAGGATATTTAGCCTCAAGAAGAGAAGGCCTAGAGGAAGCATGGCCACTCTCTTTAAATATTTGAAAGCTGTCAAACAAAAGAAGGATTATACTTATTTTGTCTAGACCTGGGAGGCAGGACAAATAATAATAGTTAGCATTTACTTAGCATGTTAAGGTTTGCGAAGTAATGTTATTTAGTCCTCCCAACAATTCTTGGAGGGAGGTAATGTCACTATCCCCATTTTACAGATGAAAAAGCAGGCTGATGGAGGTTAAGGAACTTGCCCAAGGTTATATAGCTAGAAGTGTCTGAGATGGGATTTGAACTTGGGTCTTCCTGATTCCAAATCCATCCCTCTATCAACGACTATTTCAGCCTACTCTGAGAGCTTCAGCTTCTAAGAGCTGAAAATGAAATGGATTGCTGGGAACTAAATGACAATGGATTGTTTAAGAAAGTGATGCACTTCCTTTTGCTAGTGGTGTGTGAGCATGGATTGTACATCTGATTGTCTGAGATACTGAAACAAGGATTTGTGTTTTAGGTGCACCTTAAATTGGTCTAATGATCTCGAAGATCCCTTCCAGCTATAAGATTATATGTGTAATTCTGCTCCACAAAGAATAAAAATCTTTGTTAGTTCATCTTGTATTTAAGCAATACATGCCTCTTTTAGCTTCCATAGACTATATTGTTATTAGAAGAAAAACAATTTTCCTTTCCAATGACCTAGCAAGTTTAGGTTTTTTGTTTTTGTTTTTTTCTCCAGACTTATAATTTCCCTGATATAGGAAACTCTGAGTGAGGCAATTCCCCCTACTAATGGATATCTATAACTATTTTCCAATTTATAGGATCAGAGAGTTGCTTAGAAAACTGAGAGGTCATGACTTGCTCACAAGATCACACATCCGGTGTCAAGTGCAGAACTTAACCCAGGACTTTTGAGTCCACTTTAGGCACTCTGTCAACTATGCCATACTGCTTCAAGGATGAGTAATATGTTGGGATAGTCTTCTTCTACCATATAAACAAGTAAAACTTGTTCTCCCAGATTCTGTCATAGCAAGCTGAGTACCACAATGAATTGAGGCTCAATTGCTAGTTGGCTGTTGGACATTTTAGTAGAATGATAATTGTACCTGATATGCTTCTGTTCTCTTTTTTTATAGGCCAGCGCATTGTGAATAGATTGAGAGGAAATTTATTCTCCTCTGTTCTAAAGCAGGAGGTTGCCTTTTTTGATAAGACCGGGACAGGGGAGCTGACTAACCGTCTGTCCTCAGACACAGCGCTTCTGGGGCGCTCCATAACTGAAAACCTCTCTGACGGGCTGAGGGCCGGAGCACAGGCCTCAGTTGGCATTGGAATGATGGTATGTTTTCTGGGATCACATGGGCTACATTCAGGGCCGGGGCTTCTGTTGGGCAAGAGGCTTCGCTGAGCTCTTTCTGATGAATCTTGGAAGTGTTCCCTTAGCCCAGAGTTCTGACTTAAGACTCTCTGCACAGAGAAACTGCAGTGATAAGTGCTAACAATTCATGAAGAGATGAGTAGAACTGACTTCTCATCATAGGCTGCCACTATATACTTTCTTCAGCCTCTACTTCCTTTCTCAAGGAGTTCTAACGCTGAATTCTTCTGAAAATGCTGCTCTCCCTTTTTCAAAGGACTGGGAGTCAGGTATATGCCCTGCACCCTGGTTTCCCAGGACTCTGCACCCAGGGCTAAGGATAATAAAGGTAAGGAACACTTCACGTAGTGACGAATGTCAGTTTAATCTCACTGGGGGAGAACAGCCCTGGAGCATTCCATTTCTATTTTGCAACATGGTGACAATTTTCCCTCTCTTTTTTCTCCCATAGGAAAAAAGTGGTAGTGTATTGTTTGTAACTCTCCAACTCCAGTACAATTCCATATAAATGATTATTTAAGTACCTATTCTGCTGAGGCACTATGCTTAGCCCATGGGAATACAGAGATCACACAAGACAGTCAGCCTTTGCTCTTAAAGAACTTGGGATCCCACTGGGGAGATAAGACACGGACAAATAATTACAATGTAATACAAATTAGTCTATCCTAGTGAAAAAGTAGGTCCAACAAAAGTGAAAGATTAGAGCAGTTATGTAGTGGGCTTACCCTGAGTTTATCTAATTACTTTTGAATAGTGAAGCTTATCTCAAAAAATTAGAAACTGAGTTGTGAACCTTTTAAATATTTCATACTTTGTATTTTTTTCTTTCTTATAGAATATAGCATTCAACAATACTTCACTTTCTCTCTTCTCTTTCTTTCCTCCACTCCACAGGAAAGTTTTCATTCTACATATTGTACTTATGATGGAGACTATAATCTTTTATTAGGAAATGATTTTTCAAAAAAAAAAAATTTTTTTTTCAGCTTAATTTTCCAGCTTCTTTGTGCTGTAGGCACAAGGGCAAAAATACTAAATCACAAAACCAAATTTCCTGGCTGCTCAGAGAAGGAAAGACTGTTCAGTTCTATTCCATTCCATTCAATAAACATTCAGCACCTACAATGTCTAAGGCACTATTACCAAAGTTAACCTTTTGGCATTCATTCTCTTTCTCAGTTGAAGGAAGAAGCCTGCTGAAAGGGGGATCTGGCCTGTACTTATCTAGTCTTCCCCAAATATCTCAGGTGCATGCATAGTTTTTAGGTAGGGAGCAACTTTTTAATACTTTCCCTGCACAAGAAAAATTCTGTTCATATTTAGTAATTGGCTAAAGGTGAGCTGGTAAGGTCAGCTTAGCTACCTCATTTCTTCCTTAATTATGGAAAAAGTGGTAGAGTAGTATGATGTGAGGGACACGGCAGTAGTTTGGGAAGCTGCTAGGTTTGGAACTGCAAACCAGAGTTCTTAGGACTTTGCACCAAGTCCATTGTGTGTCTGTAGTCTGCCTTTGGAAAAAAAAACCTGGTCTATCAGAAACTTAATGAGTTGCATTTAAAGAACTTATAAAGGGAACAAAGCAACACACTATAGAAAGGCAGGAAACTGTCTAGACCAAGGCAGGAATTAGTAAGATGGAAAACAACTGAAAGCAATTGAAGTGATAAAGGAAACCAGACACTGGTTTTTGAAAGGACCCAACAATTCAGTACCTCTGTGGAGCTGATGTATGAGATAAATCATCTCCAAAGACCAAGCCACTATTAATATATTTAATTAAGAAAATAAAAATTCTAATTACTGAAACTAGAAACTCACAAGGGGTGGTCACAAAGAAAGCAAAATTAGTAAAATATTCAGACTATATAATGCATAGTTTTATGCTAAGGTATTTGATAACTTAAATGAAATGGATAAATATCTCCAAAAGTATAAAACAGTCAAACTGACAAACCAGGAAATGAATAACCTACATAGACTGACTGATCTGAGAAGGAAATATCAGACTTGCCTTTAATGAGCTATTCCACAAGTGAATTCTTTCAACCCTTCAAAGAACAAACGGTGTCTTTATTATATTGATTGTTTCTGTTGAGGTTTTAGGTGTAGGGGTGATGGGAACCCATGACAATCAGGTCCTGTCCAATGAATTTGACCCAAGCCTTCTTTCAACCAAAGAAAGACAAGGTTTATTAAAGATCAGCCATATTGGTCAGACTTTTTTTTTCTTTGTGTAAAAGCTTAATTTTTAAAATTTTATTTATAGGTTTTTTTTGTTTTTGTTTTTGTTTTTAGTTTTCAACATTCACTTCCATAAAATCTTGAGTTTGAAATTTTCTCTTCCTCCCCACCCTGAGATGGCATGTATGCATTCCGATATAAGCTCTCCATATTAAGCATATTTTCCCATTAGTCATGATGTAAAGAATAATTAGAACTAATGGGAGGAACCACAAGAATGAAGCAATAAAACAAAACAACAAAGGAAAAGGGGAGCAAATAGTATGCTTCCATCTGCATTCAGTCTCCATATTTCTTTCTCTGGGTATGGATAGCAATTTCCATCATGAATCTTTTGGAGTTGTCTTATATTCTTGCATTGCTGAGAAGAGCCAAGTCTATCAAAGTCCCATAATGTGGCTGTTACTGTGTACAATGTTCTCCTGGTTCTACTTGTTTTACTCATCAGTTCATGTAAGTCTTTCCAAGTTTTTTGAATTCTGCCTGCTCGTCATTTCTTATAGCACAATAGTATTCCATCACATTCATATACCACATCTTGTTCAGCCAATCCCCTCAATTTCCAATTCTTGGTCACCACAAAAAGAGCTACTATGAATATTTTTGTACATGTGGGTCCTTTTCCCATTTTTATGATCTCTTTGGGATACAGACCTAGTAGTGGTATAGCTGGGTCAAAGGGTATGCACAATTTTATAGCCCTTTGGGCATAGCCCCAAATTGCTCTCCAAAATGGTTGTATCAGGCAGCTAGGTGGTGCAGTGAATAGAGCACTGGCTCTGAAGTCAGGAGGACCAGAGTTCAAATGTGACTTCAGACCAAACACTTGATGCTTACTAGCTGTGTGACCCTGGGCAAGTCATTTAACCCCAATTGCCTAAAAAAGAAAGAAAAAAACAAAATGGTTGGATCATTTCATAACTTCACTAATGTGGTCATGATGAGGATGGGATCTGGACCCCAAAAAGGAAAAACCCTGGACCTTCCCACATGGCCAAATCTCTGGCCTGAGACTATAGTCCCATCAACTGGCCTTTTCTTTTCGCCCACACCTAAGCCCATTCTCCCAATTCTGTTATCCTTAAACCTAGCCTAGCCCTCCATTGTCTTAACTCCCTATGACCTCTGGCTACTTCCCACCCTTGACCCTCTCTAGACCCCATTCTGGACCTCCCAGTCACTCCTAGATCCTTCCTAGTCACTCCCAGTCACTCCTAGATCCTTCCTAGATCCCTCCCACAGTCTTTCTGTATATAAGGTCCATCTTGTCTCCATTAAGGTGCTCAGATTCTTAAAATCTAGCCAATAGCTCACACATATTCATATTCTTTAAGAGTCTGACTGATATGGCAGATCCTTAATAAACCTTGTCTTTGGCTGAAAGAAGGCTTGGGTCGAATTCTTTCTGACAGCACCCGCGTGTCATGATCTTGGGGTCCCAGCACTCCTAAACCTCTAGACCTCATCAGTCAGACTCTTAAGGAGTCTAAACATTTGTGACACTCTTGAGGATGAGTGGGCATGAGGAAAGTCTCAGCCCCTAAATGGTGGCCAGACTGGATCTTACATTCAGAAAGACTATGGGAAAGATCTCGGAGTGGCCAAGTAGTTTGGGGTGACTGGAAATTGGGATTAAGTGACTTGCCCAGAGTCACACAGCTAGGAAATATGTGTCGGAGGTCGGAATTGAACTCGGGTCCTCCTGACTCCAGGGTCTGTGCTCTATCCACTGCGCCACCTAGCTGCCCTGAGAAGGGGTATCCTGATGGGAGTGGTTGGTAAGCTAGGGTGACTGGAGGAGGGTCTAGGGAGGATCTGGATGGGAGTGACTGGGAGGTTGAATGGAATCTAGATCGATCAAGGATAGGAAGTAGCTAGGGGCCATCCTGAGATAACTGACCATGGAGGGCTAGGCTCAATTAGGGTAACAGAGTTGGGAGATTGGGCTGGGCATAGGCGATATGGAAAGGCCAGTTAATAGGATTATAGCTTCAGGCAACTGCCAGAGAGTTCAAGGAAGGTTCTAGGAAGGGATTTTTGGGGGTTATCTTGGGCCTTACCCCATCTGTTTCTACCTATAAGGAGGGCGTGCTACTAGATTCTTTCTTTGATGAAAATGGGTATTTGTTTCACAAGCCTGACAGGAATGAGCCTGAAAAGGAAAATTATAAGCCAAGATCATTAATAAGCACCAGTACAAAAACATAAGATAAAGTATCGGCAAATATGTAATAAAAATTAGATATTGATAAAATATATCAAAAAAGTATTGTGACCAAGTAGGATTTATACCTGTAATTCAAGGACAGTTTAGTATTTAGAAGGGGAAAAATGTAATAAATTGTCTCTGTAAGAAAAACAATTCAAATAAAGAGGCTTTTGATAAAATAAAAATATTTAAAAATTAGGAGTAAAAATTTTTTTCTTAATGATATGAGTGCTTCATTGGAGATAATACTTAATGTATAAAATGGGAAAACAAATAACAAAATCATAGCATTTCAGACTGGGAAAGGCTCTCAGAGACCGTCAAGTCTGACCTGGATGTGAACCAGAATTTCCTCCACCACTTACTTGACTAGAAGTCCTCCAGCCTTTGTCCTTCTTGAGGTAGCCCATTCCACTTTTGGACAGTTCTAATTTTTTGAAAAAAATTTTTTATGTTATGCCTAAATTTGACTCTTTGTCACTTCCACTCATTGCTTCTAATCCCACCCTCCATAATCATGTTGAATAATTCTAAGATGTCTTCCATGAAATGACATTTCTTCAAACACTTTTGAAGACAGATTTCCTCCCCTCCCCAAACCCCACCAAGTCTTCTCCGGTCTAAACATCTCTGACTCCCTAATTGTCATCCTGCAGTGCTTCCCACAGTGCTTAGCATGTAGTAGGTGCTTAATAAATGTTTATGGAGTGACTGGCTGGTCCTTCATCATCATCTGGTGGTTCTCTCTGATTTACCAATGTCTTTCCCAAAATGTGGAGCCACAGAATGAACAAAATACTCTGGTCTGATCAGAGGAGACTGAGGTGGGATCATCACATCTAGTTCTGGACACTTCTCATTGTATAGTCTTTATAATATAAAATTACATGAAGTTTTGGGGACTATCATAGCCCATCGTTGACTCGGTGAACTTCACAGAAATGCTTAGATCATTTTCAGATGAACTATAATGCCCAGCCATGTTTGTCCCATCTTGTATGTAGGAAGTTTTTTAAAAGCAAGAATTAGTTTATATTGATCTCTATTAAATTTCATTTTTTGAGAGGCAGGATGGTATAGTGGATAAAGAGCTGGCTTCTGGTCAGGAAAATCTGTATTCTAAAGTTCTCCCTCTGGCTGTGTGACCCAGGGCAATCACATAACCTCTCTGTGTCCCCAGGAAACTCTCCAAGAATATTAAGCTTCAGAACAGTTGCCGATCTGCATTGATGTAGGAAACTTCTTATGAGGAAAACTCCCTATGTCAATAAAATCACATCTAGCCTGCCCTCCTCATTCTCCCTCTCCTCCCCCCTCCCCCCACAAAAAGCATCTTATTTGATCTGGTCCAATATTCTAGCCCCTTAAAATCATTTTAGAAGTTGACTCTGTTATTCAGTACGGTAACTTCTGCCAGTTTTGCTCCAGACTTGATCGTTTTGCCCTCTATCCTTTATCCAAGCCGTTCGAGGATCGTTAAATACACAAGCTTTTATTAAGCATCTAACACATGCCAAGTACTGTGTTAGTCATTGAAATAAGAAATATAAAAGTGAGATAGTTCCTGCCCACAAGAGACTTGCCTTCTATGAATATTAAACAATATGGGGCCTAAAGAAAGATCCTAGGGGCAACTCTGATGAGACACTGCTCCAAGCTGAAACTAAACTATTAATAACTAATTACTTTTTTGGGTCTCCATGTTCAAATACTTTGAAATACACCTAATTGCTATCACTTAACTTTTAATTCTGTCTTAGCCTCAGAAGTATCAATGGGCTATTTTATCAAATTAGATAAAACAATAACAATTCACAGGGAAATAGCAGCGCAGTGGCACCGCAATGCACTGAGTGCTAGGCCTGGAGTCAGAAGCACTTGAGTTCAAATCTGGCCTCAGGCACATCCCAGCTGTGTGACCCTGAACAGATCACCTAACCTTGGTTTGCCTTAGTTTCTTCATCTGCAGAATGGGGATAATAATAGCACCCATTTCCCAGGGTTGTGAGGATCAGATGAGATGTTTGTCAAGTGTTTAACGTAGTGCCTGGCACATAGTAAGTGCTATATAAGTGTTAGTTATTACTGTTATTATTAAATGGGATTCCATTTTTGATATTTAATAGATATGAAGATTGAATAAAAAGCATTTTAAATATCTTAAAATTGAAAGTCTCATTGTAAATACAGTTTAATTATGTGACATTGTATATTTCCTTGAGCCTACTTTATAGAATTTTTGAAGAAAAGAAAATCAGTAAAGAAAGCAGAAATGTACATTATATTTTTTTCTTTATCTGGCCAAAAGTGTATTTTATTTTTGTTTTACTTATCTGAAGTTTTATTGAAGCTTCTATTTTTTTGTAACATCACAGTTGGGTATGAATAGACCCCTCTTAATCCCCTCCCAGTGGTCTTCCTTTGTAATAAAGAAAAAAAAACAATAAAACAAACTCAGCCAACACAGACTATATCTCATAGTCACCATATATAGCACCCATATTCCCCCCATCTTTACAATAAAAAGGAGATGCAAGAGGTGTTTATTTTTTCCAAAAAAAATTTTTTTTGATAAAGAAAAAATAGATCTGGTATACTTACGTTTGTATTGCAGTGGCTAAGACTTTCTTCATAACTGTGTGCATTATTCCCCTTTTTCTATTTCTGCAGTTTTTTGTTTCTCCCAGTCTGGCTGCATTTGTTTTGGGTGTGGTACCTCCTATATCTATCCTAGCAGTGATTTATGGACGGTATCTACGAAAATTAACACAGATGACTCAGGATTCCCTTGCACAGGCCACACAGGTAAAGCTTTTATTCGTTCCTCTTTATTTCTTATACATAAGGCTTTAGAAAATAAGGACCCTGTGCAACTTCAGTAGCTACAGGGGAAAGGTGTTGTGGTCACTTGACAATAGGGCAAGAGGTGATTCTTCCATTCTTTAGTATCTTCCTTTCTTTTAGAGCCCCATTCAGCTCTCAGGATGAGAGGGACCCTAATTGCCACTCACATCTGAAAATAGGTTCAACTTGATAAAAAAAAAAAATATGAACTCACTTCGCCACATTATCTCTATTCCTTTTTTTTTGGGAGGGGGAGGGTGGGCCATAGTCAATGAGTATATAATTTTGGAGAGGGGTGTCTGCATTTTAATTAATTAGTTTATTTATTTATTGGTTAGGCAATGGGGTTAAGTGACTTGCACACAGCTAGTAAGTGTTATGTGTCTGAGGCTGGATTTAAACTCATGTCCTCCTGAATTCAGGGCCGGTGCTCTATCCACTGCACCACCTATGTGACTCGGGGGTGTGCTTTTTAAATTTCCCATTAGTTCATATAAGTCTTTATGTATTTTAAACCATACTTAATATTTATCATTATTGAATGCTTTGTAGTATTCCATTATGTGTTTCTGCCACAGATTTTTCAACCAGTATATAGATGTTGGAACATTTAAATTGTTACCAATTTTTAATAATTATAAAGAATGCTATTATAACTTTGAATAGATAGCTTTCCCTCCCTTTGTGATAATGTTCTTAGGGTAAATTCCTAACTATGGGATTTTAATGTCTCTTAGTACAACATTTAATTATGTTTTGGAAACAGTTTTTGAAAAATTGTTTTAATGTTTAATAGAATTGCATTGATATTTTTTGTCTTTACATCACCTGGATATCCCCCATATCCCTTTTCTCCCACTCTCCCACTTTTAATTTGAAAGAACATTGGAACTCAAAATTGTCTTTAAAGATTAGCAAATCCATGCTACAGTTTTGCTCCTAGAAACTGTTGGAACATGACTAACAAAATATTTGTTGTTCCATCCAGCTAGCTGAAGAACGGATTGGAAACATAAGAACTGTCCGAGCTTTTGGAAAAGAACTGAATGAAATAGAGAAATACACCAGCAAAGTGGATCATGTGATGCAATTAGCAAAGAAAGAGGCATTTGCTAGGGCAGGCTTCTTTGGAGCAGTAAGTAAATCACTTTTTGGAGAATGTAAAGAGATGGTATCATGTTAGAATTATGGTGGAAATATGCAGTCTTCTGGCACAAGTCTGAGAAGGTCATTTCATGTCATGTCAGAGTTAAGGATCCTTATATTTAAAACTCTGAATTGAGAAGAAAAAACCCCTAGAGAGACTGGAGTTTGAATTTTGGAGAGTTTGGAGACTGGGAAACATATGTAGGAGAGATTAAAAGAGGTGAGAATTACAGATTAATAAACTAGATTAATAGGTCAGACTAGTGCTATCCACAGTTAACACTAAGCATGTATATTTGAGAGGCAGCAGAGCACAATGAATAGAGATCTGATCTTGGAGCCAGGAAGACCTGCGTTCAAGCCCTGCCCCTCACCCTTCCTCACTTGCTGTCAGGAAGATTACTTAAGCTCTTAGTGTTTTAGACAGCTTTTTAAGAGTCTGCATCGAAGAGAAGTTACCAGTTTGTGCTGGTAGAGGAAATTCTTCACTAGAAGCTCCCTTTACCATTGAAATCACAAGTCCAGTCCCCATCTGATTACATACACATACATGCATACATATGGATAGATAGCAGCTAGGTGGCACAGTGGATAGAGCACTGGACCTGGAGTCAGGAAGACCTCAGTTCAAATCTGGCCTCAGACACTTACTGGCTGGGTGACCCTGGGCAAGTCTCTTCACCCTGTTTGCCTCAGTTTCCTCATCTCTAAAATGAGCTGGAGAAGGAAATGGCAAATCCCTCTGGTATCTTTGCCAAGAAAACTTCAAATGGGGTCACAAAGAGTCAGACACAACTGAAAAACAACACATATGTATCCCCATCCCATTCCATATATATGTGTGTGTGATATGTATGTATGTGTGTGTGTGTGTATATATATTCCTATCATTGACATAGAATTTGCCCTATCCCATAAATATTTATGTATCTCCCTATCCCATCCCATATATATGTATCCCCATCCCATCCCATGTATGTATATGTATATAGATATACACCCTATCATATATATGAATTTCCCCACCCCATGTATTTATGTATACACACATATATATTCATGTATATACACACACACATACATTCTTGCATATATACATATATACACCTTGAGACAGTAAGTCTCCCCTACAAAGTTATCCCTTGTCAGAGAATAAAAAAGAAAGATGAATAAAAGCATTTCAGTGAAACCAATCTGTCAGTGATATCTGACAAAATATTTACTGTCTCCTAGTCCTCTACCTCTGTAAGGAAGGGAAAGAAGTATACTTTCTCTATTCTACTCCAAGGCCAAGGCCATTAGGGTTTGTCTTTTGTTTTTTGTTCTTTCCACCCAGTTAAGTCATATCTTTATATTTTGATGATAAGATTACTTCCAATATTTACATAGATGGCATTTGAGAAAAGATTTTTTGTTTGTCGTTGTTTACTAATCAGAATGTTTCATGGTGACACATCCATTTGTTTTGATTTGATTTCTGTGTATTTTTCCTTTGACAGACAGGATTCTCTGGGAATCTGATTGTACTTTCTGTCCTCTACAAAGGTGGATTGCTGATGGGCAGTGCCCACATGACAGTGGGTGAACTCTCTTCCTTCCTAATGTATGCTTTCTGGGTTGGAATAAGCATTAGTGGTAAGTAACATAAAAAAAGATTTTTAAAATTCAACACTTAAATAATGGACTTAGAGGGGGAAAATTAACTAATTATACATGAAATAAAAGCCAGTGATTCTATCACCATCTCTTCCTTCCATCTAATTTTTTCTTTTGTCTTGCTCTATCAAAGCTGTCTGTTTTTGCAGCTGTCTGGGGAAAAAAAAAACCTGACTGTCCTGCCTAACTAAAAGTAAACAAGACTAGCCCTAGGCAAAACTGTAAAGTCTAGGAAGTTTTCTTTCCTGACCTTCTTCTCCCTTAGTGGATCCCCACTAGGGAATCCCTCTGTGTACTTCTGAATTCCCATGCCTTCCTGCCTTATTCATACCCTCCCTACTAGCAAAGTTTTGGAAGATCTGCCAACTAGTCATAAATACTTGTTGAATGATTGGCTGATTATGCTTTTACTGCAGCTAAGGTACAGTTGTAACCTTAACCTAACCCTTGACTTCTCTTTCTCTTTTTGCACCAAGATTCCCAAATGTATATTTTTGATTGTTTCCTGGCATTATTTTAATGTTATGATTTTTCAAAATGTAACATCCTAGATCCCTAACTCACTGCCTCCCCTATTATTTCTCATTCTGTTTTTATATTTTCTGACGGAGAAATGTGCTGTTGAAATACAGCCTTCTTATTGTTCATAGAATTATTGTTGTGAGTATACATATGTAGATGTGATAGTATGGTGATATATATATATATGATAGATGACAGAGGGTTGGATGTTTCATAGAGTTATCAAATTTTGTCTCAGATATTTCTAGTCCCTGACTACTGATTCCAGCCTGGAAAGTTCACAAGTAGTTTCTTTTTTCTTTTTTGCTAGGCAGTGGGGTTAAGTGATTTGCCCAGGATCACACAGCTAGTAAATGTTATGTGTCTGAGGTCAGATTTGAACTCAGGTCCTCCTGAATCCAGGGCTGGTGCTCTATGCACTGCACCACCTAGTTGCCTCTCACAAGTAGTTTACAGCCTAAAAACATTGGAAAATATTGCCCTGTCTTTTCTGGAATCACTTGATTTAGCCATTTGATTAGAGTATGGTGCCAAAGAGGCCAAGATTATGAATTATCTCTATTTCATCTCATGGCTACACAGAGTGTCTCAACTTTGACCAGCTGGTATTATAAATGTATGCTGCTGTCATAAATGAATGCATGAAAAAGCATTTATTAAGTACTTACTGTGTGCTGTGGTAGGTACTGAGATAGGAACAAAAAAGTAAGACAGTTCTTGCTCTCAAGGAGCTTAAATTCTAGTGGAGGAGAAAAGAAGGAAATGTCTGGGGAGTCACAGAGATAAGGAGTTAATCTACAAGGCTGTTATTTGACTTGTTCTCATCATAAGGAATATTTGATAAGAGGAAGGTGTGTTTGGTAGGAGAGCACAGTGACACAGGAGACCTAACCATATAGCTAACTACCTATGGGACCTCAGTTTCCTCAAGTGAGAAATGAAAAGTGTGAATTAGATTATCTCTGAGGTCCCTTTCACCACTGATGCAAGTGTGTCTCACTTGGTGCAATCAATAATCCTTGAAAAATAGATGCATTTGATTTTTGGCAAAGTTTATTTTAAATGCTTTAAGGAGACTTGAAATTTACAAGAATCCTCTGGTAGGCCTATAAAACAAAAATCCTTCCTAGAATGATTTATTATGGCAACCTAAAGTTTAAAAACATTATTCTTTAAAGCTAATGCGCATATGCTAGAAAGACAACCCCAAGCACAGATCCTGCTAACAGTAGATTAGTAATATCCTACAAAGGACAACATGTTTGTTTAAGAGACCCATAAGTACTGGTGCTTTCACAATGTGACCTCCTTAAGCCAACTGTGGTTTACCCACTTAATGGGTTGTATCCACTGTGTCTTGCTTAAACATCCTTCTCATAGAGTATACTCTTACTGAGGGAGAAGATTGTAAAATGTACGTTCTGTCGGTTAAAACTAACTTCTGGGGGTTTTTATTATTGAACACTAATTACATGATGCTTGGAAGATAACTTCTGAAGAGGTTGCTTTGAGTTTTGTTTTTTTTTTTTTAGGGGTGTGGTTCAGACTTACAATTCTATTAGTATAGGCCAATGGTTCTCAGCATGTTTTATATCAAACTCCTTTAAACTCTTCAAAAAAATTATTGTGGTCTCCCCAAAGAGCTTTTGTTTATGTTGGTTATAGCTATCTGTACTTACTATATTTGAAATTAAAATGTCTTAATAATATAAAAAAAAGTTTTGATCTTGTAGGTTCCCTGAAGGGGTTTCGGAGACCCCCAGTTGACCCTAGACCGTACTTTGAGAACTTCTTATACAGGGAATTAACAGTGATGAAACTCCCTTAACCGATGTAGATCAGTTACTGCTCTGCACCCTAGAGTATTAGAAAGTTTCCTGGGTCACTGAAAGATTAAGAGACTGCCTAACATTTACTCAGTGAGGATGTGTTAGAGGTCAAATTTGATGAAAAGGTGTGTGTGTGTGTGTGTGTGTGTGTGTGTGTGTGTGTGTGTGTGTG